GCTAATTTTACCAGGTAGCTTTTTGGCTAATTTTACCAGCTAGTTATTTTGTCTTATTTCACCGGCTTGTTAATTGGCTGATTTTAACCTGCTCGTCTTTTGGTTCATTTCAACAGTAAATAGGAGTCCTCGTTCCCCAAGCTGGCAAGTCAACCCTTGCACACTAAGCTCTTTGCGACTAATCAAGTAAGTTGGCAGGAAAATGTTGCAACCAGCGACTTAAATGGCTAGGCTGTAAAAACCACGAGAGCAACGGTGTAGCAAAAATAGACACGTCCCGTAAGGTGTTAAGTGTTTTTGCTTTTTTTTTTTAGAAGTTATTTTTAAAATAATCTCAACAGCAGGGCCCAGACAAGTGGTTCTCCACCTCCCTAAAGCCGCGACATTTTTAAAACAGTTCCCCATGTTGTGGTAAACCCAAAATTTTAAAATTATTTACTTTCATTGCTACTTCATATATATGTGTTTTCCTATGGTCTTAGGCGACCCTTGTGCAAAGTTCGTTTGACCCCCCCCCCAAAGTGGTCGCGACCCACAGGTTGAGAACCGCTTCCCTAGACTAATGGTCGAGAACTTGACCAGTCAGAGCCACATGCGCTTATTTTGAAGGAAATAATACTGATCTTTTTATACTTGCGTTTAATGACAGCGGTTCTCAAAATATATGAATTTGTTCCTTCTGAAATGGTCCCTTCACCCATAAAATGTTACCCAACCCCGGCGTAGACCATATAAAGTGTTCAGTCACCGATAGGTCCCATTAACAAGCAGCTCTTCCTGGTTGCTCACAATTATCTAAGAACCCAGTGTGACGGTCAATTACTACATCCATGCGCGTCAGCGAAGTGAATCATCGGGTATTGCGTCGGGGAAAAAAAATCACAAGCTCTACATTTGTAACCCTCAACCCTATCAACAAATTTTTGAGATCCCCTGCGTCGTTGGTAGCCTAGGCTACTCAAGCGCTGTTGATTTTTTTTTTCCACGAGAAACATATCAACTTATTTTAAATTTTTCATTATAATGTTAACCACAACTGGTGGTTGTTGGGTTTATAGCACACATCGAATTGTAAAACCTGCCCGTGGGCTGGGAGGGGAGGGCGAGATGTCATAAAACCACCACCGATCATCAACACAGCAGATAGAGAGACACCGTGAAAGAATGTTACACGGGTAATTTGTCACTGACAAACCCTTTGGTAGCACTGCAAGTCATCGACTGCACTGCACCGCCGGGCTGTTTACGACACGTGTTTCATTTTATTTCTCCACTCGTGAAATGTAACTCAACGCGGTGTTGATAGTTGTGTTGTGTGCGAGGAACGTGTGTATCAATTGTATGTTGAGGGGGCATCAAGCGCAGTGGGTCAAAATATCCATGAAAGAGCCACGTCATGTGAAATACCCCCGTCAAGTGAAATATCCACGTCAAGTTAAATATCCATGTCAATTAAATTATCCATGTCAATTAAAATATCCATTTCAAGTAAATTATCCATGTCAATTAAAATATCCATGTCAAGTAAATTATCCATGTCAATTAAAATATCCATGTCAAGTAAATTATCCATGTCAATTAAAATATCCATGTCAGGTAAATTATCCATGTCAATTAAATTATCCATGTTAATTAAAATATCCATGTCAAGTAAATTATCCATGTCAATTAAAATATCCATGTCAAGTAAATTATCCATGTCAATTAAAATATCCATGTCAAGTAAATTATCCATGTCAATTAAAATATCCATGTCAAGTAAATTATCCATGTCAATTAAAATATCCCTGTCAAGTAAATTATCCATGTCAATTAAAATATCCCTGTCAAGTAAATTATCCATGTCAATTAAAATATCCCTGTCAAGTAAATTATCCATGTCAATTAAAATATCCCTGTCAAGTAAATTATCCATGTCAATTAAAATACCCATGCCAAGTAAAAAAAAATCCATGTCTAGTAAAATATCCATGTCAAGTGAAATATCAATTTTTAAATAAAATATCCATGTCTCCGCTCCATTGGATTTTAAGGAGAATCACAATCAATTCTTAACACAGCGGTTATTTTATGGTTCCGTCATTACTTTTTTTTCCAGGAAAATTGAACATTCTAAAATGTCTTCGTTTGTTACCAAATTTGGGGCGTTTTTTTATGGTCAGTAGATTAACTTCTTTACAGGTGGCTGGACACGTGCTGTTTTAATTCATGATCTGACAGCTGGGACACTGTTTTAATTTATTATCTGGTCAGCTGTGAGACTGTTTTGATGATTGATCACAAATCGTCTCCATTAAAACCAGCTATACTCTAATGATGGACATACAGGTACAATAAATAAATAATATATTTTCTTTTTAAAGGCCATTAACCAGTATTAAAAGTTTATACTTGTTAATGATTAACTTTTTATCTCCCCTTCAGGGGAATTTTTTTTCTTTTTTTTGGGGGGGGGGTGGGTGTGGGGGAAATGGGTGATGGATGGTATCAACAAACTCCATAATCCCGCTATAATCGAAACATATTTTGTTGTTTAAAGCTAAATTCGATACATTTTAAAAAGCAATGAATTAACATACAATCGAATACATACTGTAAACCGAATAGTATTTTATTTAAACGCATTTCCATGACGGTAAAGTTATTATAGAAAACACAAATGTTGCTGTCAACGGCAATGTAAACGTAAAGTTGTTATAGAAAACACAAATGTTGCCGTCAATGACAATATCAATAACATAACATAACACAACCTAATTATATCAATGACCACCTAATTATAAATAATAGTTAAAATTGTAGGTGACAGAGGAGGGTGAAAACTAAAAATATATTTCATATGAAGCAGACATATTCGTGATATGAAGCAGACATATTCGTGATATGAAGCAGACATATTCGTGATATGAAGCAGACGTATTCGTGATATGAAGCAGACATATTCGTGATATGAAGCAGACATATTCGTGATATGAAGCAGACATATTCGTGATATGAAGCAGACATATTCGTGATATGAAGCAGACATTTTCGTGATATGAAGCAGACATATTCGTGACATTTCAGTTTATAAAGACAAAAACAAAATTCAGTTCTTATTTAAACATTTTTGAAAAGAAAGAAAGCATTTGTTTAATGCCCACGTCTGCTGTTGTTGGCTTTCTCCCTTCCCTTTTGATTGAACGCGCCATGATCCCATGTCAGATAGTCATAACACCTTATCATGCCGTTTAACATTCGGTTAAGTTTATTTTTAGAACTGCTAAAGTGATCCCCCCCCCCCCAAACTCAAACCCCCAATCCATTTTTCCATTCTACATATTTTAATACTATTAATATACACGAAAGGTTATACACCACATCGGATACGAGTCTGCACATTCACACCAGCACATTCGTGCCAGGACATACACAAACACATACACCGGCATACACACTCTAGCACGCACACCCTAGCACTTATACGCTAGCACGTACAGCGCCACATGCACGCCTGCAATGACAAAGCGGCCGGCGTACTTGATGCGCCAATCATCTAATTATTCTTTATGTATCGGGATCTACTTTTTTCATTGCTGAAGGAAAAAAAAAATCCAAATGGCTCTTGTTGTCAGAAGTTGACACCGACAGTACGTCACACTATAGAGTATAACTATTCTTTTATTTTTTATAACTTTTAAAATAAATAAAGTTATCATTTTAAAAAAACAAAAACAAAAAAGCTATTTAATAATACCCATATCGAAAATTATAAAGATAATTCTATCATATTTTTTTTCCCTCGTTGTTAAAATCAAAAACAGTTTATCGACCTCGACTCGATGTGGTTCTCAAGGAATCACACTGTAGCACTTTCATGCTTTCTGCTTACATACTTTGGGGGTGATATAGGGGCGGACAGCCTACTCTTCGACGCCCCTCCTGCACTGCTGACTGGGCTACACATCTTAAATCTGGCTAGGCTGCACAGAGAATGTGCTTGTGTATCAATTTATATATATGTATATATATATATATATATTAAATAATTTTTTTTCTTATATTTTTTATTTATTTATTATGTTTTCTTGATGTTGTTGTTGCTGCTACTATCCTCATTCTAAAAAAAAAGACTTACATTGAAGAGAGAAAAAGAGAGAAGAAAAAGAGAGAAAAAAGAGAGAAGAAAAAGAGAGAAAAATGCACAAATGACAACACGCTGATGATCATCTCACAAAGAAAACTGCGCAAACCGACAAATGCGCTCAGGGAAAATTTCGCAAACTGACAAATTCAATAAAGAAAAGTGCGCACACATCAGTGAGCGATTATCGTGTACGCTTTTTTAATGAGTAATTTATCTTACACAGTTTTCAGTTCAGATATCAGTTCAGATATCAGTTCAGATATCAGTTCAGATATCAGTTCAGATATCAGTTCAGATATCAGTTCAGATATCAGTTCAGATATCAGTTCAGATATCAGTTCAGATATCAGTTCAGATATCAGTTCAGATATCAGTTCAGATATCAGTTCAGATATCAGTTCAGATATCAGACGGCTGAGAACATCATGAACCCCCTCTAAAAACATGTAGGAGCCAGATTTATCTATACTTTGATCGTGGGCGCTTGTAGAAGAATAAGAAGAAAAAATAGAGACGAGATGTGTGTGTGTGTGTGTGACCAGTCTGGTTAATTAAGTTCATTTTTTTTATATTGTTGAACACACATAGAAGAAACCAAAGCTTGTACGCACAGTCACGGCAGAGAACACAATAGCCTCAACCACAAGCAGACACCCACACACATTTCACACACACACACACACAAACGTTTACACCCAAAAGTGTCTCACCCACACCTAAAAGTGTCACACCCACACACATGCCCCCCCCCCCCCAAGCACACAAACACTCGCAGTCATCCTCACGTGCCTGTCATACGCCCAGGCTGTATTGCTTAACAATTGTGACTCCTCACTGAAGGTTCACGTTGTTAGGCGGGGGGGGGGGGTCACCTGCTGCCTCCATATAAGCGGTTTGCCCCCAGGGAGAGGATAAAAGTAGAGCTTTACTGGATGCGAATTCAAGGGACGTCTGCAGCGTTGGTTTTTATTCTGTATCAAATTAAACCTTTTTGAGGTTTACATTCCATTCCATTTATCAATTTCGGGTAAGGATATACACATTTAAATAAATTTGAGCAATTTTTGACTATTTTTAATGCTATGTTGGCACTTGTATGTGGACTTATCGTTAACCTACAGTTATATAATGATAAACCCAATAACATATTATTCGATTATTCGATACTAACAAGATGTTCAAAAATATAATAATAATTAAAAATATAGGTAAATAATGATTTTAATTATAATATTATATTTTGCAAATAAGCCTTTTAGAATCTAATGTCTTAACATATATCGTAGCAATTTTAAACTTGAAATAGAAGATTTATTTTTGTCCAAAAAAAAAAAGATTTGTTGGAACTGAAAACTAATGTTAAAATGAATAAATTGAATGCAATTCTGCTCCATGTCATTGTCCTGGGTAAAAATAATTAATATTATTAAGAATCTTCTTCTTGAGCGTGCAGAAGATAAAATCAATGGCTAGAAGTAAGAGATTTTTTTTAAAAAAATAATTTATTCAATGTTAGTTAACGAAAAAGATTACAGGAACTGAGTTTATTCGACTATTATCACCAACAAACAATAAAGAGTACGGACAAACATGTACATAGTTTTTTTCCATAAATCATAAATGTCAAATATCATAACTTTATCTTCTGCTGATCTCTTTAAAAGTTCATCTTTTGATGACTCACCATAGATAACTCTTCTTTTGAGAAGCCCCAAACCTGTCGGCTACTTTCTTGACCGCTGATAACAGAAACGAAAGCGATCAATACAATCCAACTTCTCATATAAGTATCTTCTTTTTTTCTCTCCTGTCACCCATATGCAATTTACCGAACACTTCATCGGCGTTGACTCATTGTCAAAACGATGTATTTCTGACCTAATTATAGGGTCACCTGATCTCTGAGACATCATCCTTGAACTTTCAATAAAACACGCATTTTGGATTTGCTACAAGTGTGGGAAATTTAAGTTTGATCGGTAACCCTTTTATGAAATTCGGTTGGACCGATCAGAGTGTTCTCTGAAAATAAGCAATTTCGGAATTTGGTCTCACCCCTTGGGGTGGTGTCATCCCCCTGGGATGGTGTCACCCGGTGCGGTCCGCACCCTTGCATCTCCTCGATATGCCACTGCACTTAATTTGTCTAACTCAATGAGTCTTAGCCATGGGGGGCGGGGGTATCTTTGCCAGTCAATATACCTTGGGTAACTCGAGTCTTTATAATTTATTTAAAAAAAAAAAAAAACTTTGCTCTGTTAGCTCTGTTAGCTAACTGCTTTGATCATGGAGACGTGGCTGGTTTTATTTTCGGAATTGATATTGATATCAGTTATTAAAATCAAATATCCGCCTTCCACCCAGAAATTCACGTATCCTGATTATCTTCACAATTTCTGAGGAAAATCCTTATTGTGGGTCACCACAACGTGTACATTAAATTAAACAAGCGGCCGCGGCTCTCAAGAGGTTGAGAACCTCAAGTTCAAACCTCTTATTGCCATAACAACAAACGCACAAAAGTAGCAGCTTTCGAAAAAAAATGCATGACTCTAGGCTAGGCTTTCCGTTATATTTGTGTTAAATACAGGTTAATACCTTCTTTGAAATTTGTGATTTAACTTAAGAAATCGATAAATGCCCCCCTCCCTCACGCCCCCAATCGTTAAGGCACGCCCCCTCCCCCCTCGCCCCCCCCCCTTCCGACATTTAAGCATAGTATGATTTATGCTTCAACGCTTATGTTGAGGACTCTATATCTTCTGTATAATTAGACAATGAAAAACTAGGAAGGGAACTGGGTCCCCTTGTAATAGAGTATGCTCAAACTGTGCGGTGCTGGGGTGGACTTAATCCCTGATGCTGAGGTGCAGGGTGGTGCTGGCGCCCCCTTACCCCAAGCGGGTGAGATAGTGACAGTATTGATCAAACCCGTCCCCCCAACTCCTAGGTTGTCGTAGTAGCAATAGACACTCCACTTTGCCACTCTCCCCAAAAGCTCTTGGTTAATATTTTGTTATGCTGGATACTAACAATCATAAAGGTGAAAGGAAAATGTCCATACTTGTACGTGGGTGTGGGGGAGGGGGAATGGTGGGGGGAATTCAGCCATGATTAGAGGCCGTGCTTAATTCTACCTCTGAATGAAGCGCACCGTGGAATGCCATGAATGCAGTAATTGGGGAAAACAAGTCCTTCTCATGTGCGTGGCGTCAGTTGGTCCTTAATCAGTGTCACCGGTGGGAGAGGGTATAACGGCCACTGCGCCCCATCAACGTTAGTCTTAAGAGAGTATAAAGTGTAAAGGAGAATGACTACAGGAATGTATCAGAGAAGTATAACAGAATTACAAATAGTAACTTTCTAGGTGTGTATGTATGGCTGTAGCACTGTGTTCAAAAGGCGCATCTGTTTTAAAATGTATAAAAAGAATGTTTGAAACAAGGGATTCCGGTTTTCGCGCATGATGTCATCGGACAGAACAATAACAATACAAAAAAAAAATAAAAAAAATTGAAAATATTTTTACTCATCTGGTCACGAGATCAAGAAGATTTTCAATAAAAGCAAGTAAGTTCGCGAGTATAAGATGACAATGAAACGGCTTGGCCAACTTGGCAACTTCAAAACATAACATGTATGGGAAAATATCCAAAATCTCAACAATGTTTAACGAGATACGAACAGGGAAATATGAACTAAGCAGGTTTGCTTTTTTCAAATATCATTACGAATGAATTATATTTCTTAGGATGGAAGGATGGATGAAAGGAAAGGGTGGATGCAAGGATGGATGAAATGATTAATGAAAAAAAAAAAGGGAATGAAGAAAGGGTGGTAGAAAGAATAATTGATGCCCGTTTTGATAAAATTATTAATGCATACAAGAATGGGTGGAAGAATGCATGGATGGGTGGATGAAGGGATGCAAGTATCGCTGGTTGCATGCAAGGATATTTTGATGTATGGAGCTTATCGATATGGATAGATAGAGGAATGAAAGGGTGGATGGATGGATGGATGGACAAATGAATCATTGGATGAATGGATGCAGGATGAGTGGCGTTTATCAACAACATGTAAATATCAAAGCCCGAGTCGTTTTACCAACGCTCGAGGCGTTGCACGCCAAAAACAAACCCTTGTGGTGAAACGTGGGTGACTAAGAATGATGAGACCCCCTAAGACAACTGTTACACCGCGCCAATCGCCCCCCGCCCGCCCTCCGGCCCTCTCACACAACTTGACCTGAAGTACGGAGCCCGTGATTGTAGAAACAATGGGGGGACTAAAGTGGTTTTGGTGGGTCGAGGTGTGGCGGCCATTTCATCACACATTTAATGTGTGCCGCCCCACCATGGAGATACTTGACAGCAGAGAATGAAGTGGGTTTAGTAAGGTGCGACACCAACGCCTACCAACTATAGGCCAGGGGGGAGGGGCTAACAAGAGTCAGGAATGTTCACTCGCTCACGGTACTGCGTGGAGGGGGGTGGGGGGTGGGTGGATATAGAAATTAGGCCAGTGGTCATTCATTTAAACAAAGCAAGCAATATACTTTTAAAAATGTTTTTTTTATTTTTTTTTTAAAGAACCAATTTTAACGTATAATAAGATACCAGTACCCCAAAGGAAAACGACTATGTAATTTGACAATACTGGACACTCATTGACAATACTGGACACTCATTGAAAATGCTGAAAAATCCTAGACACTATCAGACAATTCCGGTTCGTAATTGACAATAGAGAGGTATTTAAACTGTAAGCTTCGTTTCACATCACGTGAATGTGGTGTACCTCGTTTCAGCTCTACATAATAATATGTCAGCTCTACATGATGTCATGTCAGCTTTACATGATGTTATGTCAGCTCTACATGATGTCATGTTAGCTCTACATGATGTCCTGTGAGCTCCACATGATGTCCTGTCTGCTCTACATGATGTCATGTCAGCTCTACATGATGTCCTGTCAGCTCCACATGATGTCATGTCAGCTCTACACGATGTCATGTCAGCTCTACACGATGTCATGTCAGCTCCACACGCTGCGAGAGAGTGGACTGAAGTGACACCGATGGTGTCAAGCTGAACAGAAAGAAATATTTTTTCTCACTTGAGAATAATAATGAAAAACGCTTTATTTTATTAAAAATTAATGAAACAAAACCCCTTCAGATCATTGCTACGGTTAATACAGTTATATTTTTTTTTTTTTAAATAACACTCATAAAAATAAAACCTCATGTAGAGTAGTGGTGTATGGCTAAATGAGATGACCTACTGGGGCTGAATGAGTTGAGGTATTGGACTGAATGAGTTAAGGTATTGGACTGAATGAGGTGAGCTACTCGGCTGAATGAGTTGAGATATTGTACTGAATGAGGTGATGTATTGGGGTGAATGAGTTTCAGTGGAGCTAAATGGCGATAAAGTATTGGGCTCTAAATTGGTGAGTTAATGGGTCAATGGCGTCAGATAATGCGCTGAATAAGTTTCAGTAATTAGCTAAATGCGGCGAGGTATTGGACTGAATGAGTTGAGGTATTAGGCTGAATTAGGTTCAGTACTGGGGGTAATGCGGTCAGCTACTTGACCTCATGAGATGAGGCATTGGGCTACATGAGACGAGGTATTGGGATTTTTGAAGATTTCATTGCATTGAAATTTTCCACGATATAACAATCGGCATTCTTGTGTATCTTCAGGCGACTCACTGCATGATGGCTCTCCCCGGAGGACTCAGTGGGGCGTTCTACCTGGGACTCGTGCTCCTGGGACTAGGCACGGTGCTGCACGTCATCGGGCTGGCCACACCGGAGTGGTCCGTTGAGAAACACGGGACTCGAACTCAGGGACTGTTCAAAGGGTGCTTCCTCGGCAGCTGTGGGGAGTATACATACAAAACATGTATGATTTTTTTCTTCTAAATTTTATCGAACTTGTTGCTCATTTGTCCTGAAAATCCTAGTGGAAGTTGAACAGTGAAGGAGCCTTGTTAATTACATGATTCCAGGAATTTATGCGCACATTTTTGTTCGCATCAAAACGGATTAACAGTCAAAGAAAACGGGAATGAAATTCTAGTAGATTCGTATAAATGAAATCCCACTTAACTTTGATTTAATGAAAACGACATACTCTTTAAAACAACATAATTCTCCATTTAGTAGTTGGGCTATTGTTCTATTACATCATTTATTATAAATGACTAAAGTTTATTAAAAAATATATATATTTCTGGCCAATGCCTTGCAGCCATAAGGAGGGGGGGGGCATTTCAGATTTTCGAAAGGGCAGAGGTCATAGCTAAAGATTGCGGGGCAGACAGGGACAGATGTCCCAGGGTGCCTGATTAGTGGGGCGCCAAAATAGGCTTTGGCAGTATTTTAGGGATGCCAATAACGTGTTTCACTTCAGAGCGTGATAAAAATAACAGTTGTCCCCAAACGCTCTATCTCCGCTTCTTCCAGTGGCGTGGAAAGTGGTCAGATGCGGTGGTCTGCCATGTTGTCACATTTTTCTTTATTTGAAGGGTCCGCATTTTCGTAGAACTGCCGATTTTGTATCGTGAAGGGGATCGTGTCAATAATCTGAATCCGCCTATGGTGACCCAAATATTAGCTGTGCCACCAGGCAATTGTACCTATCGGTACGGAAATTTGCAAAAAATGGCCAGCTATACTACCATTTTTCCGAGCAGTAGGGCAGAAATCGAGGGTACAGCTGGCTATTCGGTGGAAAGGTTGGGGGAGGGGTGACTTGAGAGTTTCTTCCCAGAATATTTGTGGTCATTTCAAAAGCTACATGTCTATTTTGGGGTATGTCTAAATCCGGTGTTTCTTTTAGACCTTTTGATCGAAAGTAGGAATTTTTCAAACGTCCAACTAGACATGAATTCATTTCAGCTGTGGCACGCCATAGGGTAATCATTTGGCACAAGGCTAGATTCAAAGGGGCAGAAAATAAGGTTTTTCCAAAGACTCTCAAGTATAAGCTGGGGCACGGATCCCTTTAGATAATTGTTCATAAATCTAAAATAATTGGGTGCGTATCATTAGACACAAACTTGAATTTGGTGTTTCAGACTTTGGAACAGGAAGCTAAGCGATTAGCCATAATATAATAACACTATGGATATCTCTAAATCGGCTCTAGCCAAGATGAACTAAATTCATCCCAGTTGTGGCGCCTTTGAGTGTATGCTTTTTGCTTGTAATGTCCTCAGAAAATGTTTGATACATTTTACCTCATTCCCTATTTTAGTTTTGTAAAATTGTACGCTTAATCGGAGAGACACGGAAGAGGTTATTTTAAAAAATGTTGGTGTCACTTGATCTCAGAGCCCTCGTGTGGGTCATTTGACCTCTAATGCAGCAGAAGCCTGAGATAATCTACGTGCTTAAAATTGCACTTTTTTAATTATTAACTTTGAATGCAAAGTTTAAAGAAAGGAAAAGTTTTTTTGTTTTGTTTTTTTTTTTGTGGGGGGTGGGGGGAGGGGGGACACCGAAAATTGGAGGGGGCATGGAGGGGGCATGGAGGGGGCATGGAGGGGGCATGTAGACACTTAATTTAACGCCATAATTCTCGGTGATTTTCTTAAAATTTACAAATGAAAATGATTAAAAAGTGAAGTTCAAAAAGAAACTAATTCGTTTTCCTCTGTTGCAGATCAGTCTATTTAATGGGGAATATTGTTTCCTTTCTTTTTGTTTGTTTTAATAATTGAAACAACTACGCAGCCCTGAGAAGCTGCTCCAAGGCAACCGTTTCGTCCCAGCTGCATCGCGAATTAGTTGCGTTGTGGAAACACACTGTAGGTGGGGGAAGATATTAGGACGTAAATTTTTCCATCCCGTCTCCTGAGAAAGTCAATCGTGTGCACTGTGTGCAAACACAGTGTCGGACCGACCGGGTGTCTTTTTGGTTAGGACGGTCCCCGGCAAAGACTCGGGTGGGGGCTGTCCTGACAAAGGGACATCCCCCTACGTGCCGCGGTCCGATACCGGGTTGGGGAGGGGTGTTTTGGGAAGGGCAATAAGAGCGCAAGCTCGACGGCCCGCTGACGCCATTTCTTAATGTAACAATAATTGAAAAAAAAAAAAAAAAACAAGAAATATTCACTATTGTTTTTAAAGTAAAAATATAGAGAGCCTATTTATAATGTGTTCCGTCCTTAATGAAGGCCGAAGCCGGGTTGGGGGGGGGTGTTTTGGGAAGGGCAATAAGAGCGCAAGCTCGACGGCCCGCTGACGCCATTTCTTAATGTAACAATAATTGAAAAAAAAAAAAAAAAAAACAAGAAATATTCACTATTGTTTTTAAAGTAAAAATATAGAGAGCCTATTTATAATGTGTTCCGTCCTTAATGATAATGCTCTTCTTTATTTCATTTCCCAGCTAAGCTCGAGGCGTGTGAAGCCTTTGCAATAATCGGGATGGTCGCGGGCATCGGCGCCACAGCGGTATCGCTCCTCATCTTCCTGCTGGGCCTCTTGAGCAAAAACAGGCACCGGATATTTTCACTGCTCGTCCTTGCTGGCAGCGTCGTCGCATGTAAGTACAGAGCGAGCTATGTGTCCGTTGACAATGATTTGTGCTATTCCAGTTGGGTTGAACCACGTCTAGATGTGAACTGTCTGTGCACAAAAATTTCGGTGAAATGATTTCAGATTCACATTGGTTGGTTGTGTGGTCAAAGGCGGCGTCTGCTGGCGCAAATTCTTTTTAACAATTCGAAAGGTGGATTTTGGTTTTTTTCTTTTTAATTTCTGGAAACCAGTGACCTTGTCAGAGAAAACAGCTGGGACACATAATCATGTTCAATAGTCTTTGTTTTACTTGTTTCGTTTATTTCAACACGGCTGAAATCAAATTTAGGGTACAAATGCAATTTCAAATGTTCGTACAGACCCAACATAACGTTGCGCACATACTCAATTAGACATTTTGTGATCAAATTCAAATTGAGATTTATTTTGAACAAAATTAACTTGACTATCATTGTGCTAACACCATATGACATTATTTGCCTGCAAGCTCAATTAATTGTATATGTCGTGTGCAAACTCAATTTGACATTAAGTGGAACAGCTAAATTTGAAAAAAAAATTTTTTGTTTTTGCTAACTCAGCCTGACTTTTTGTAAAAAAGTTAAAAATCACATTTGAAAACAAGGCTATGATGTTGAAGAGACTTAATAAAACAAACATTTTTTAAATTTATTTTATCGACGAATCTTAGATTCAGCCTTGCATGAAGCATCTCTTGTCCTCATCTATGTCTTACCTCAACCGCAGGTTTACTTTTGGATAATCGTATTACAGATTTTTTTTTCACTCTCTTTTGATCTACAGTCATTGCCATACTCATCTGCGTCATCATCTACGGGGTTACCATCCATGACGACATCAGCTACTTTTTCAACGTCGGGTACTCGTTCATCCTCAGCATCATAGGCGGAGCGCTCATTCCTATTGGAGGTTTCTTCGTGTACTCAGCTTCCAAGTAGACGCCCGAGCAGAGATTATCAGGCCCAATTATCGGTTATTTCTACTTGACTACATTGTTTGGATTGTAAGAAGAAAAAAAAGAAAATATATAAATATTTGAAATATGGATAATGCATTTATTTGTTACTGCCAGAGGCGTAGCTGGGGTAAGTTTTCACACGGGGTAGGCGAATAGTTTTGCCGCCACTTGCAAGAAAAAAAAACTATGCAGTTGGCAGAAAATTCCACAACCCAAACTCCCGTATAAAGAAAAATGTCCCGCCGAGAGGGGATTCCCCCCCCCCACTTCTATGCCAATGCATACAGCATACTGTAGCTTAAAAACAGCTTAAAATTAAATAATCATTGCATTTTCAGAGGCAGTGTATATAACTTTTTTTTTTAAACTGAATATTTCATGAAACAAATTTGAATCTTCAAGTAAAACAATCAAAATGCATTTTTATATGAAGGAACATTTTCATAATTTCAGTTACATCACCAAGCGAAACAAATCTTTCCAAATGCTGAGCGAATGTTAAGTTTAGAATTTTTGTGATTTTTTTTTTTCATTACCAATACTTAGTTTACTTAATATGCATGATTTTTTGTTTGTTTGTTGATTTTTTGATAAATTTGATGGTTTGTTGATGTCGGAACATAATAAATATTAAATAAAAAATACTTTAATTTTGTTTAAACAGTATGTATATATTTCATTACACGTAACTTTTGAAAATGGGGGTTTAAGCTTGTTTTCACTCTTCACTGAGACAAACAACTCCTTTTCTGGTTTGTGTATTCAACCATTCTTGTTACTGCTCTTGTTTCAAATTTTTTATTTCATTATTTTACTTTATTTTATTTGTTTCGTAAATCTCTTCATCTATAATACATTGTAATAATTCATAAACTTATCTACTTCATTACAATCAATATTTTGGGGAAAAATAATCTTTGAGTTAATCTGATTTGAAAAATTAAAAAAAAAGAACTAGTCTAGATTATGTGTAGTCCTGAGCTAGAGTCTAAATAGAGTTGTAAATGCGTTTTCTTACACAGACAAGGGTATGTGCTTATTGTCGCTTTCATTTTTTTTCCCCCTTTGGTCCTATCACGAAGCACTTGCGTGTCAACGAAATACTGAGTGTTGACTGTTGAGTCATGTGCAGTCCCCCCCCCCTCCTGCACTCTCAACCCATTCACAATTTGAGGTCACACAGCCACAGCCATGTTTGCACAGGCCATTTGACGTACTACACACACCACGTGACATACTACACTCACACCTTATCAACGAACCGGACATATTTGTGTTGTTGTTTTTTTTTAATTGGCTGAGTAATCGTTCAAACAAAGGCGAAACGTCAACAGGCTGGCGTTTGGGTAGCCAGAAGAGCAGGGTTGGGGCTATTCTGTGTCATTTGGTTTGTAAATTTTAAGAATGCAACAAAAATGTTTAGGGATGTATTATTAATATTTATTATTTGAAAAAAAAGTTAATCAAAATTATGATTAATGTAAAAAAAAAAATATGGATGATTAACAAAGTTATTTGACCCCAACACGGGCGCCCGGCAATATCTCCCCAGTGACCCTGAGTTTGAACCGAAATCACGTTCATCAAAATTATGAATAATGTAAAAAAAAAAAAAATGGATGATTAACAAAGTTATTTGACCACAACACGGGGGCCCGGCAATATCTCCCCATTGACCCTGAGTTTGAACCGGAGTCAGTGAATTGTTACGCAGGAGTCAAATTCGAGCGTTAAAAAAAATTGAAAGTCTGATTTTCTTGACTTGAAAGGGTGAGTCTGGCTCTCTGACGCCTTCAAGTCTGTAACGTGAGGACACACGAGGCGACCGTTCATTACGAGGTGTTAAATCTCTAATTTAATAATGTCTGTTAAAAAAAATTTTTTACCCCAATTTTAGGAGCACACATTGTTGTAGCCACATTGTATCTTAATTACATTCTATGCGACTGTGGGGGGGAGGGGGGGGTGCTCGTTTTTTCTAGAAACAGACAACGATTCATTGTGTATTTGCTCACATCTGGTCTGTGAGGGGGGGTTGCAATGCCATGAGAATAGATCTGAGAACCTTTTCAAATTTCAAATCACTATCTCAACAGGGGCGCAGCTAGGTATTGTTTTGTCAAGTAGAGTAAAGAGATGAGACGTCAACGCATTGTAGCCGCCACTGTTTGACGGGCTGTAGCTAGCTTATATGTATCTTGAATCTGTGTATGGATTTTTGTGTGGTGATTATGAATATGGCAATATGTAAATGGCTTGATATGTGTCATCATGACTACATGACTGTGAATGTTTGCCTCATTAAAATTGGCTGCATGAATGCAAGACCATGAAGTTGTGTTGCATTCAAAGAGTGAATGCATACGAATTATTTTATGTGTCAAATTTATGTAAGCTTTTAAAAAAATAAAATATTCTTTTATCGAAAAGCCATTATATTTTGTCATAATATTTTATATTTGGCTGAAAGTTCATGTCTTCTTGGCGAATTCTATCTATATACATATATATATATATATATATATATATATATATATATACATATACACATATACATACATAAAATTATGTTGTATTCCCCATTTTTTAAATATATGTTTAATAGATTGCATTTTTTGCATTTTACATTGTTAATGCACATTCCTAATTTTTAAACTGCATCATTGTATTTTTAGTTTCAAGTCAGTTTTACTTTTTTTACATTACAAAATTTGTTGCTTTCATCGAATTTTTTAAAGTAATTAAAACGTTACGTTTAAAAATACTTTTCATAAGAAAATGACGTTGAAGCCAATTATTACAGTGACACGTCTTAGCCACCACTCACGAGACTAATTCACTTACCACTGATCCAAAAAAGAACGAACCATCTAAAAGTGCAATTTGTTCTTGTTGATATCAATATCCCAAAGCCCACGTATGTGACAGATGTTGACTTTAGTTTTTAATGTGAACATAAATAACCATAGTCTTTCAATATACGGAATTGTGCGTGGAAAAAAATATGTTAACGACAATATAAAAAAAAAATTCGTCGTTAAAGAGATATGGTCTGTAGATTTTAATAAAGTTCAGGGTGTGTAAAAAAAATATTTTAGTTGCGAACAAAATTGGACGACTATTCCATGGATAATTTTATAATGTTTTTTTTTTTTAATATATATATAAGTGTGGGGGAGGGGGCATTACATACTTTCAGTTTTCCTCAAGCAGCACAAGGTATGTCCCAGAATGAAGGAATTAATTTGATAAAAGATTAATCTGCTTGGGTAAACACGTGTCAGGGGTGAGGAATACATTTTGTGTGTTCACATTTTGATGTGGATGAAAATATCTTTAAAACCAATGATAAATACAATCGGCGAAAATAGATGTGTTTAATTTCTTAGAACACATAAATATATTATGTCATACCAATTAAGAAAATATAGTTCGATGGCGTTGACAAACTGTGGTTAAATTTACATCAAGTTACGCAGACCTAAAATAAACATATTAAAACAATATTCAATCTGCGCATCTCAAAATATAAACTGAAAAAGACTAGCCATACATTTTTTTAACTTAACAGTTTTTGGCCTAGAGGAAAACTGTGTTAAGATGTCCTTTCTAATTATGAAAACACATTCCCCCGGCCCCCCCCCCCAAACTTTGCGAGCGGTTATGTTCAATAATGTTAATTGAAAAGTGAGTGTACATTTTTATAAGATTAATAATATTTCTTTAAAAAAAAAAAAAAAAATCACAAGGCTGTTACAGACTTAAAATGGGCTAAGAGATTGTTCTTAGTTAAAAAAATTCTCGGCTGTACGATTTTCCTATAATATAAGAGAGAAACAAGGCAGAAATGTGTTACATTTTTAATGAAGATACCAATGTGTCAAACTCCATTAATTTAATAGTTATTTAAAATGGTATTTATAGATTTTTTGTTGTTGTAGATTTCAGATCACGTTTTCACAATTTTTGTAACAATAAATATTTTTTTATCAAGCTTTTTTATCAAGAACACCGAGCACTCCCCCAATGTTTATGAGAATGCCAGCGACGAGACACAGGATGAAGGAATAGCCAATAGAAGTGTCTAGGCCGTACGTGCAGACCAGTCTTGTGTGCACTCTCAAGGCCCACACAATTACAGCCACTAGGATGAAGACAACTGAAACGGGGGAAAAAAAACGGTATTAGCACAAGGCTATTTGTACAATGTATTAATTATGCTACTGTCAGTTGTATTTGGACGAGAAATAAAACTATCAAAGAAACGTTTGCTGTAGGGACACAGTCTAAGCAATAACGTTACAAGGGTTAGTAAAACCTCTGAAGGGTCAAGATTTTAGCCATCCAAATCCACGAAAAAACAAATAAATGAAAATGATTTCATTCAATTGAAAAATAAACAAAACACAACAAGTGTACCCCTTTAGAACCCCTTCCTACACTACTGATGTAAGTCAAACATATTTATACTCTTTTTTTAATTTATACATTTTGAAAAAAAAAAGATATTTTTTCTTTATATATATAAAAAGTAGTTTTTTATTCTTGCTGTCTACAAAAAAAATCATTTTTTAAAAGGGGGAAAACAAGAAATATTAATTATCAGTTGAATTATATAGTAGGTACGTACAAAAAAAAGGTCAAATTTTCTACCAACATCCCAACCCCTTTGTTACACACCTAGTATGTGAAGACCCCCCCCCCCATGCGTATGCTCAATGAGCTTTCGGACAACCCACCCTCTCGTTTCACCCCATAAAAATCCCAACATGTTATATCACGTCAAAATGAGTTGTATTTGTACAAAATTTGACAGAACAAGCAAAAAATATATCTAGCATGCACATTTTTGTTACTTATTTTTATTAACATAATTGTAATTAAAACTGTTGTCAATTTTTATAAAATTTTTAAAAAATAAAATATTTGTGTTTTTTCCATGTAATATCTTTATACTTACACACACATATATATATATATATATATATATATATATATATATATATATATATATATATATAT